AGCTGTTTTTCAGATCGTTATTTGTTAATATACGAAATAGAAGAAGTGTTTGACATTTGAAAATGCTAAATTAATTTTTTGATTACCTGCGTCTTATTGAAGAATTTTTACGACATTAACAACAATTCTGAAGTAATTCGAAAAATATTGATTGAGAAATTATTTTCTCAATCATGGATGCCTTGACAACTCACCCCACTTGAGAGTCCAGCGCCCACTCACTTGAGAGTCCAGCGCCCACTCACTTGAGAATCCTGCGCCCACTCACTTGAGAGTCCTGCGCCCACTCACTTGAGAGTCCAGTGCCCACTCACTTGAGAGTCCAGCGCCCACTCACTTGAGAGTCCAGCGCCCACTCACTTGAAAATCCAGTGCCCACTCATTAAATTGAGTGGGTCCATGCAGCTCCCATGCGTTGTGCTGCATTGATGCCTGCCAGGATGTCGAGTCAGGAAAGCTTAAAGAAAAAGTGGACTTTTTGTTAAGGTTGCACTCACTCGTATTGAGTCGTCATTATTCACGTATTTTATTGTGCACTTAAACTGATTCTAAATATTTTATTGGCAAAGCGCCTCAGGATTATTTTATGAAGCAATTCACTATTGCACATCCTGAGGCTGAACCTTCGTGCTAGTATCAAGAAAATATATAGAAACTCCACTCTTTTTATCGTTCACAGTTAAAGCGCTTCAAATGTTTCTACTTCTGTTGCAACTTATCATTTAATAATTAAAAGAACTTTTATGGTTGACACTGAACCAAACCAACAAATTTTTGGATCGGGAGTGCCACTAAATGTGCGATGATAAACATTGATAATTAGTGGCAGAACAGTGAGTATTCTATACGATTATTTTCTTGTTTACTGGATGCATCGATCAAAAAAGACTTGAATATGATCAAGAAAGACATATTCAAGGCAAGACAGTGGATCGAGAGAGACATATAGTCTAGAAAGACTTGAATAGAATATGACAGATGCTTGACCTGTGTAACGAGATCACACGATTTGGCAAGTACTGACATGGTGTGTCGAATGATGTGCTCCACAATATGCTACGTCAAATGACAGCATAAATATTGTGGACATAGTCGAAATTGTCTGGAAGATAAAATGTTAATTAAACGTTCCAGGTGATTGTTTGGAAAGTATTGTAGGTATTGGCATGAGCATCGTATGTTGGCAAGAAGTGTTTCGCCTAGTAACGTTAAGTGACTCAACCAATTACGTAGATTTAACTGTTTTCACGAACTATATAACATGACAATATAGAATTTAGAATATTAGTGACGTGTGTCGTGTTCAATATCGATTATCGTTGTCGACGATATGGAAGCTGCATTTTAACACGGTCATCGCTCCCGGCTTTGAATATCGTCATTTGTTAGTTAATTTATCCGAGATGTTTTGCTTGCGCCACGCAATTGACGGCCAAATGTTTTCGAATGGCCATTTTTTACGAAGGCCGCAACCACTTCCGCCGCAGCGCCGCTGAGTTCGTTACATTAGGACGGACGCTCGTTGTTTTGATGACGTAATCCAATATGGCGGCTCCGCACGACACTGACCGGAATACTTGAGTGCTTCCCGAAGAAAAAGATGAAAAACAAGGCAGCGTTCAAACTTCGTTTTCAGGAGGGAGTTATTTGCTGTTGAATATTTCCGTGGACTCTTTCTTCAGAGGCGAACGGAGGTCGGCTTGTGAATTTTTAGATTCGATTGCATTAGAGCAGGGGTCACCAAACTTTTTTCACAGTGGGCCGGATAACTAAAAGAATGACGAGCGCGGGCCGCATAATCATTCTGTTCAATACTTGCAAGCCTGAACGATAGCTCTGGGGAAAATGGCGACCAACTAAATTTAGCATTTGATTTTCATCAGAAAACAAAGACAACCAACATTTTATTCACTAAAAAGTTTTCAGAGAAGGCAACGTAAGCAAAAAGATAGTTACCTACATCAGACTTAGTGTGTACATATCCAAATCTCACAAACTAAACAGCAAAAAAGGTTAGTGAGATTTGTGAAACTGGCGTTTGGCTTTCAAGATATCATCAATGTTTGGTTTGGAATTGCTGCATTCAATCAAGAGAATTGCTTTCAAATGTTCATCAGTCAATCTCGTTCGACGTGTTGACTTCACATGCTTCATTTTTGAAAATGTTTTCTCACAGACATAAGTTCTTCCTAACACTGCATGGTNGCGAATTATTAACTAATCACTGAGACTCAAACTGGCCCCGATGAGTCATTGTTTGTAAAATGGTTTCAAACTCTACTGCTGTTTCATCCAACAAATACATTGAGGTATAGAAGGATGCGATAAGAAATGAAAAAATTCTACCGCATGATAACTGCACTACTTCTCGCTACAAAATGCATGATGCTAAATTATATTTTAAATGCATGAAGCCGAACACGTAACATTCGAGCGCCATTATCTGCGGGGATTTCAACAAGCACTCAGCTTATTTTTTGTAACAGAACAAGAAGTATTTGAAAAAATATACAATTTCCCCTAGGAGACTAAGGAAAGTCCGATTCTAAATGAAAGTAGATGTTTGTTAGGCCGCTGAGAGGCGGAGTGATACGTCAGTTCCGCCTAACGTTTCCGGACACGCGGATTGTGCTTTACAGTCTGACCTGAGCAGCGGTCCGGCTGCCGTCGTATCTTCGGTAGACCACGGAAAAGAATTTCTTGGTATATCTGTATAGTGGCGTATCTGTATTAGCGCGGTGTATCTGTATAGCGGTGTGTCTATATAGCGGTGTGTATGTATAGCGGTGTATCTGTATGTTGGTGTATCTGTATAGCAGTATGTCTGTATAGCGGTGTATCTGTATGTTTGTGTATCTGTATTAGCGGTGTAACTGTATAGTGGCGTATCTGTATGTTGGTGTATCTGTATAGCGGTGTATCTGTGTAGCGGTGTATCTGTATAGCGGTGTATCTGTGTAGCGGTGTATCTGTATAGCGGTGTATCTGTGTAGCGGTGTATCTGTATTAGCGTGTATCTGCATAGCGGTGTGTCTATATAGCGGTGTGTCTGTATAGCGGTGTATCTGTATGTTGGTGTATCTGTATTAGCGGTGTAACTGTATAGCGGTGTGTCTGTATAGCGGTGTATATGTTTAACAGTGCATCCGTATAGCGCATAGCGGTATCTGTATGGTGATGTAGTTATATCGAGGTGTATATGTATAACGGGAGCCGACATTTTAATTCAGCTAATTTTGTAGTCCCTTATAAGGAGCTACCACAGCTCGTTGTGACGCGCTTCGAAGTTCTGCACGAGACTGGATGTTGTAGAGTTCCCCCAGCATCTGAAACAATTTAGAGAAATAACTTTTCGGCCTGTTTTTGCCACGGAAATATTTGAATTGAATAATGAGCTACAATTTACTTATAAAATTCGGGTTTTAATTAAGACAAATATCCTCCTAATTAATAATTACTATAATTTTAAAACAGAAATCAATTGTGCAAATCATTAGGTTTACAGCACTGAATTTATTATAATTATATTTATTAGAAGTCCTGGCAGTATTATTTTATTCACCACGAGTTTACTCAAGTTTTGTCTTACCAAATGTATTTTCTTTGTGCTCAAATTTATTTTACACAATTGATACTCTAAACCATATAGTACTTCCAGTGACCAAGTCTCTAGTCAAATTATTATTTTTTTATGGACTTTTGCCTCACCTTTTTTTTCCTGCATGTTCTCGAGTCAAAGCGCAACGAGGCGCCGCGGTGGCCGGGATTCATGGACAAACTCTACGGAAAATGCACGCACGAGTTCATTTGCACTTGCCTATAGCGTCGGAACTCAGCGGATTTGCCTCAGGTTTAATGAATATATTTCCAATTTACGTGGAAATGGACAACTGAATGATTTGAATTGCTAACTCCTATTTGCGCGCCTCCGTGCCAAGCCAACTGACTGGCTTAACGAATTCATGTAAACTCAACTTTAACTCAGATCGAGAAGAACGGCCTTGCGAAAGTGGTGACACAGAGAAAACAGTTTGTTGCAGTCATGGTTTGCAGTAGGTAGAAAATGCCTGCCGTATTTTATTCGCTCACTTCATTCGAACATTTTAATAAATTGAAAGGAACTCACTTGAAGATTAGAGAAGAACTTCTACAAGTAAAATAACAAGTTAATAGAAACACGCATCAGTTGTTCACATTCATCGTCATATGAAATGCTCATGGAAAATGAAATCACCAAGTCATGGGATGTATTCTCTACAGATTAAAAATAATTGTTGTTACGTGCAGTACAAATACTCGCACAAATAACTTTGGACGAATGACAGGATGCAGGAGGTTTCAAGGGTCTGATAATTTCGATTGCACGTCATCATTGTTTCTACAGCTTTGAAAAAACTCCATAAGGGAAGTCGCATAGAATTAAATTTGGATAGCTCACTCACTAAATGATTAAACCACAAAACGCGAAGACTCTCTCTAGACAAGCTCGCACTGATTAATGTGCAAAGTTCGAATAAAAAACTCTTTCTTTGATCGATCAGAGTGAAGAGTTGAATAACATGTAACTACCACAGTAGCCAAATTCGTCTCAGGACGGAGAAGTATTGAATACTTAAATAATATGCATTTCCTGCCTGCCTGACTTCACCTCCGCAGGTTAGTTGATGGCTGAATAGCATGCAGCTCTTCCCGACTGAATTTCAGACTTGTATTTAAACGTGTTGTCCTGAATAACGTCAACACCCTGGCTGAGGGATCGATTTTTGGCTGAAGGAGTCTGGCCTCTGAGACGTACCGGCGCTGTCCTCACACGTACCGGCGCTGTCCTCACGCGTACCGGCGCTGTCCTCACACGTACCGGCGCTGTCCTCACACGTACCGGTGCTACGGACTCGGTGCAGTCGTGGGCTCTCAGAAGATCTGTGAGGCAAGACAAATGATGGCCGCGGCTCGCACGCAATGACCGGCCTAACTAATGCTTGTGTGGAGCAATACAGGCAATGGAGAGGATTGCCAGGCCTTCCAGGGATTACCTGGACCTATACTTCCTCGCCACCTCGCGAGGCTCGGGTATCAGGAAGCGAGCAAGTAAACTCAAAATGGATCTTCGTCGCAGAAGGCGCGAGTCCGCGAGCCAGACTCTGAGAAATAATTGCTGGGTCGTAAATTTGCTGCCCGTTCGCCATGATGGTTGCAAGTAATCCCGCCAATTTCAGGCTAAGATAAAGAAGATATTTTCAATTGAAAATTTCAGTAGATTGGCTTGAACACAAGTGTTATGGGCATATCGGCTTTAAGGATAGTAACTAAATTTCTATGTGATAGGAAGTTTCAATATTAATAATCACAAAATAAAATAGCACCAGGTGATTCGTTTCCCATCGCAGCAAGCAAGATACGAGTCCATAATTAATTCGGAGATAATTTTTTATCTGTTATTATTAAACACCACAAAATCCATGTGTTTTTAATAAAGTTTAAATTAAAATTAACCCCAATCTAAAATATGCAAAGAAAATTGTTTGACATTCTCCCATGGGTTAATATTCATATGATGTAAATAAAACGCTTGCATCAAAGCTATTTCTAATCAGAAATAAGCCAATAAACGAATTAGCTGGCATTCTCTCATGCCTTAATATTCATATTATTTAAATAAAACGTTCACATCAAATTTAAATCCAATCAAAAACAAGCAAATAAATGAATTAGCTAGCGTTCTCCCATGCCGTAACATTCATATTATTTAACTAAAACGTTTACATCAAAGCTAATTTCAATTAAAAGTAAGCAAATAAATGAATTATCTGGCATTCTCTCATGCCACAACATGCGACGGCTGACATTTCAGTAGATTGGCTTGAACACAAGTGTTATGGGCATATCGGCTTTATATACCGGGAAGGATGGTCACTAAATTTCTATGTGAAATGAAGTTTGAATATTATAACCACATGGTAATAATAAAATAAAATTTTATCAGGTAATTCATTCCGCATCGCAACAAACAAGCTGCGAGTTCATAAACAATTTTGAGATAATTTTCTAGTCAGTTATCGAACGCCACAATATTCATGTGATTTTAATAAATAGTTTATATATGAATTAACCCCAATCTAAAGTAAGCGAAAAAAATTGCTTGACATGCTTGCATGCCATGACATTCTTCTTATGTAAATAAAACGTTTACATCAACGCTAAATCCGATCAAAAGTAAGCAAATAACTGAATTAATTGGCATTCTCCCATGCCATAATATTCATATGATGTAAATAAAACGTTACATCAAAGCTAAAACCGATCAAAAACAAGCAAATAAAAGAATTAGCTTGAATTCTCCTGTGCCTTAATATTCATATGATGTAAATAAAACGTTTACATCAGAGCTAAATCCAATCAAAAACAAGCAAATAAGAAATTGCTTCTGATGCTCTCCAGCCATAAAATTAATATTTTTTAAGTAAACCTTTTACATCAAAGCTAATTTCAATCAAAAACAAGCAAATAACTGAACTAGCTGGCATTCTTTCATGCCTTAATATTCATATTATTTAAATAAAACGTTCACATCAAAGCTAAATCCAATCAAAAACAAGCAAATAAACGAATTATCTGGCTCGCTCTCATACCACAACCATGCGACGGCTGACCAGCTCGCCCTCAAGCAGGCGTCAGGCACGCGCGGTCTACACGGCGCCCTACACTGCCATGTTGTGGCGTGCTGTGGTGCTGTGGCGTGCTGTGGCGTGCTGTGGCGTGCTGTGGTGCTGTGGTGTTGTGGCGTGCTGTGGTGCTGTGGCGTGCTGTGGTGCTGTGGCGTGCTGTGGTGCTGTGGCGTGCTGTGGTGCTGTGGCGTGCTGGGGTGCTGTGGCGTGCTGTGGTGCTGAGGCATGCTGTGGTGCTGAGGCGTGCTGTGATGCTGAGGCGTGCTGTGGTGCTGAGGCGTGCTGTGGTGCTGAGGCGTGCTGTGATGCTGAGGCATGCTGTGGTGCTGTGGCGTGCTATGGTGCTGTGGTGCTGAGATTTTCTGTGGTGCTGAGGCGTGCTGTAATAATGCTGTAGTCCACATGCTGCTATGATGCTGCTGCTGTTTACAAATTCCACATCAGCTCGTTATTGGCAGCATATTGTGGCAGATTTTTTAAGATGCACACTGAAGTTTTTCAACTATTCGTGTTAAGCAGCAAATAATCATCCTTAAACAAATATAAGTCGGAAATATGGCAATCAGAGCTCTTCTTGAAGAAATAACGGATATTTTAATTCGTCATTAAAAGTTGAAATGTTATTAACTCTTAAAAACACTTAAAATCTCTTATTAATTCAATAAGAGTTATTAACTCTTACCGGAAGTAACTCTGCAACAACTAACAAGTCTCCAGCTGAGCGCGTGCTGCCTTAAGCTGACGTGGCGCGGCTCAGCGCTGGCGCCGTACAGCTGCTGTGCACCACCAGGGCAGTGGTGCACAGCAGCTCTGCACCACCAGGGCAGTGGTGCACAGCTGCTCTGCACCACCAGGGCAGTGGTGCACAGCTCTGCACCACCAGGGCAGTGGTGCACAGCTGTGCACCACCAGGGCAGTGGTGCACAGTCGCTCTGCACCACCAGGGCAGCTGCGTAACAAGGAACTATACTAAAAATAGTAACACAAATTCCTAAAAAATTTTCATCATCAGGATATCATATTCTTTTCAGGATAAATTTAAAAATTAGTCATAATTTACCAATTAAGATATACCAAAAACCAAGCACTGTTCCCATATTGGTGTTTATTTTTATTTCACTTTAAGTAAAGAATTCAGGGAGTAACATATATAACGATCATAAAACAATAAAATTATATCATGGCAATCTATTCATATGTCATTAAAATATTTTTCATTTGAGCTGAACTCATTCATGAAGTGTCTGTTTACCCGTGAGGTTACCCGTGATTTTCCCCGTGAGTTCACCCGTGAGTTTTCGTACCTCACAGACCACCCCTCATTTCCCTCACTCACACCACTTGGCCCCTCCCTCACTACACGCACCATTTAGTCCCTTTTATAGCCCATCAAATTATTTACCTTGACACGCATGCAAATCATAGGCTGCAAGGAAACCTATATATTATACATACTGTATTATGTAGTAGTTCTCNAAGAGTGTGATGAATGTGAAGGGTTTGAAGAGGATGAAGAGTGTGAAGAGTGTGAAGGGTGTGAAGAGTATGAAGAGTGTGATGAATGTGAAGGGTTTGAAGAGGATGAAGAGTGTGAAGAGTGTGAAGGGTGTGAAGAGTATGAAGAGTGTGATGAATGTGAAGGGTTTGAAGAGGATGAAGAGTGTGAAGAGTGTGAAGGGTGTGAAGAGTATGAAGAGTGTGATGAATGTGAAGGGTTTGAAGAGGATGAAGAGTGTGAAGAGTGTGAAGGGTGTGAAGAGTATGAAGAGGGTGATGAGTGTGAAGGGTGTGAAGAGTATGAAGAGGGTGATGAGTGTGAAGGGTGTGAAGAGTATGAAGAGTGTGAAGAGTGTGAATAGACCGCTTGTGTGTGAAGAGCCTCACCCCAGGAATTTTAATCCAATCCCGCGTAGCTAATAACTCACTCAGAGCATTGTAGGCCGTTGATGTCAAAAGCTAATTTGTACCAGCAAGTGTATCTCACCTCAGTCACCTGACATAAGAGTTCAGATGAAGATATTATTACACTTCTCATTATGATTCTCTTCCTAAAGCAAAAGCATGGGTGGAGATGAAAAGATTAGTTTAAAGTTTTAGAGATCATTTTTTTATTATTATTTTGAATTATAATGAATGGATAAATAATTTTGCATCTTTAAGAGGAAAATATTCCGGTGCACTGAAGGATGACCTAATGCAAATAGTGCTCTCAAAAAAAGATCCAATGCAGTCAACGTCAACCTAAAAGACAGGTAAATTCAAGAGCGTTTTTCTGCACCCTGGTCGACGCACCGACGGCTTATCTCATGCAATCGAGTATCTGCGCTGATGTTGCTCAGGATTTACTGGTATCAGTGAGATGTAGCAGCGACTTAAAGCTCCCAATCCTGCTCGGGCATGAGTGATGCAGTATGGAATTCCATCCCGTCACCTGCAATGCATGTCTTTCAAATAAGGCGATCTGAACCGACGCCGACGATTGCTCCTGCATCCACCGAAAAGAATTTGTTATCAGAGCCGAAACACATTTTGCGCTTGTCGAGTGATCAATAGTTTCGCATACTAGGGACTTGCACGTCTCAAACGAAATGATATCACCCTGGAGCCTAATGCTAGGTATTCTGTCAAAAATTTTACTTTCAAGTCATGCATAGAATTTATCTTTATTCTGAGATTCTGACGAGTTCCCTTTCGAAATGTTCCACGTTGCCCAAAATAGCAGCCCAGCGACGTAATTAAAATATAAAGTCAATTCACTTCATGAATCTCTGCAGTTGTTACGCAACGCTTCAATCCTTCTTGGTCTCCTACTTTCAGGTACTTTTTTTTATCCGAATTTCAAGCTTCGACGATGGTGCGCAATTTAATGACCAGCAGGTCGTTTTCTCTCGAGATTATTTTCTATTGTGAGTGAAGGAGTAACCGATACATTGAGTGAAGCCCTCGAAGAAGAAAGTGAGGGGATCGTCCCTCTTGTCACGGCAGTCAAGAGAGGGGTAGAGCGTCGTTCATGTCACTCTAAAGCGACGGCCTTATAATCATCTACTCATGCAAATATGATAGTTAATGTTAAATGTCTAAAAATCCTGACTCCACCGTGCAACATGGTGTGAGCGTTGTATAAAATAATAAGAATTTATTTAATTGAAATTATATGGCTGAAATCGCAAATTAACCTAGAGTTTTTAAGCGAATCAAACGTCGAGTGAATTCACCATAGTTTCTTTGAAAATATTACGAAAGTCTACTTAATCCAAGGTTCTAAACTTCAAGAATACAAGTATAGTCTACCGAGAGACAAAATTATTAGTCGCTAGAATTGAAACCAAAAATCTTAAATCGTTCCCGGACACGGATCTTAAAATCGCTCGAACAATTTCTGAAACGTTGTTAATGAAAATATATTTAAATTACTTTAAATTTTTTATTTTAAATTTTGCTTCATAAAAAATAATCATGAATGACTTGCAAAACTTTCATCTTTTTGTTGCAGGCTGTAGAGGAATTGTAGCTAAACATAATTATTCTCTTGGTATTCCGAAACAGTTCTCTGGTGAAAATCAGTCATTCGATCAGCTCACGACTGTTTTACAGCGATCAGTGAAGTCTAGATCAGTCGTACGTCTGTTAACACGAGACAACGCAGCAAATAACGCTCTGAAAAATGACATCGACTAACGTCGAACATCACTGACTAACATGCAATGTTTTGACGTGAACTTACCGTTAAAAATTATAGACGAGACACAGTTTCCTTGGGAGAATTAAAGAACGATTGAGGTCGTTACAGGGCCATTTACGATTCAAAGAAGCTATTTAAAGAGAGTTTCAAGAGGCTGATTGAATGAAGCCTCATAGAGGAAGCTCAAGTGCTGGATTAAAGGATAGACTCCGTCCCTCGGCTGCCGTGACGACGATCACGATACAAGTTACTCTTAATTTCCTTCCCTTCTCTTCTTCAAATCGTTGACATTTTTTACTCTTTCGTATCACACAATGTCCGTCACGAGTTTTATAACTCCATCTCAATTCTTCAAGCCGTCGAACCTCATCAGCAATTGAAATCAGGCTACATGTATATTATAGGCATGATAATACGAAATATATGAAGTACAAGTGTATGGCGTTTAAATTGGGGGACCACGTACCAATTTTCGTCCGTGTTTAATTTTTTCTTGATTTAATTTCGCTGATTAGAGGTAAAAACGACTACGTTCCAACAAATTGAGGCTTAATCGTTAATTAATTATCTTAATAAATCCTAACGCGCTAAGAAAATCTGCAGCTTGCTAAGAGGAAGCAAGCTGCTGAGGAGCGACGGTAGTAGCAGCTAACTCCCAGGGATTGTTAACGCGTGTACAGAAGATGCATGCAAGACAAGGGAGCTCCTACTGTTCTCTTAATGCTGCCCAATTGCCCAGCACTGCGGCATGCTCGGCATTCTACAACGAATTGACAAGATATTCAACGTACAGAACTAAGCATTGCCTGTGCACAGCATGCATGCTGTGTTACCAACGTTCAGGCTGTATTTTCGTTAAAGTTTTAGAGAAGCTATTACAGCCATACGAACCTAATTAATTATGATGTAGCTGTTTTGTTCTAACGCTCTCAATTAATACACGATGCAACTGTACTAATTTTAAACGTGTGCTGACGGAGATTCGTTCAAAGTGACCTGGCGCATCAATGTAAAGCAGCGACAGGCTCAACATTATTCTATAAAACCTATGTTTCCTGTCCTTGTCCATTAATTTTATATCTTAGTTTAATCTTTTAAGGGAAGATAACTCAATCAATAACGGTGAACAAGAGACGCAACTTACATTTTCATTAGGAATTACGAGTATAGAAATCACTACCTACTATTTAAAGATGCGCACATAGGTAATGTTGGATAGTGACCAGAACCATGCATATAAAAAGAAGGACGAGTTACAGTGCTCACCAAACGACGCTGGATTCTCTGCTTCATCGCCTGCCATGGAAGACGACCGGCCGTGAAATTTCCTTCACAGGCCACGCATTCACGGCGACCTCGGGACAATGGTGGCCATGAGTACTGCGGACAGGCGTGTGGCAGATGAGGCCTCATGATGACTTTATTGTGAGGCCATGAGATGATAGTATAGTGAGGCTATCATACGATTGTATTGTGAGGCCATCTGATGATAGTGTAGTGAGGCTATCATACGATTGTATTGTGAGTGTGAGGCTATTTTCCGCTTGTATTGCGAGGCCATCTGATGATTGTATAGTCTTACGATTGTAATGTAAGGCAATCAAATGGTTGTATTGTGAAGCTATCTTACGATTGTATTGTGAGGCCATTTAATGATGGTATAGTGAGGCTATCATACGATTGTATTATGAGGCCATCTAATCATCGTATAGTAAGGCTATTTTACGATTGTATTCTGAGGCTATCTAATGATCGTATAGTCAGGCTATCTTACGATTGTATTGTGAAGCCGTCAAATTAATTGCATTGTGAGGCTATCTAACGATTATTCTCTGAGACATCTGACAATTTCTCGAGGCCATTTGATAATCGTCCATTTGCTACAACGCGAGATCATTACTGATTGGGAGCTACTTGTCAGGGGCATTTGGAGTTGGTGCCTCATTGAAACCTAAGCTCATTTTCAGACGTCAAAAAATCTACTATTACCCACAACAATATTTGTGTATACAAGTTTGCTATCTGCATCACACTTTAAAAAAATATTAGTGTATACAACACAAGTTTGCAACAAGTTTGCTATGTGCATCACTCATTAAAGTTCTATAATATGGTTGAATTTTAAAATTAGCATACCATTTGTACCTTCACCCCATGATCTGTGTTTCAAATTTGACTTCCATTATCGATGGCGCTAATAAATTAGCAGCTGGCAAGTCAGGTCTCGCACGGCAAGCATGGCGCGCGGCTTGTAGCTGTGCTGCGCGATGAATGAGTTCATTAGGGACTCGGCGCTCGCTGCTATAGCCTCTCTATTATTCCTATTGCATTTTAAGTATTTTAAAGCCTAGACTTAGAGTGAATGAAAGTATCAAAATATATGATAATTTATTGAGGCGTGCGTGTAGAATAAAGATGATTTTAATTGGCCTAAAATAAAGTCTTTTACCATATTTTTCCAAAGTAATAGTACTGAAAACTCCACTACACTTATGAGATGCAACCCTCCTTATTAAGACTTTGTAGCGTGGAGTGCCGTGCAACACCCTCCTTATTAAGACTTGGTAGCGTGGTGTGCCGTGCAACACCCTCCTTATTAAGACTTGGTAGCGTAGTGTGCCGTGCAACACCCTCCTTATTCAGACTTGGTAGCGTGGTGTGCCGTGCAACACCCTCCTTATTAAGGCTTGGTCGTGAGCAAAAATTTAGGGTAAGTTCGCCCATAACTGCTTGATTGGAATCTGTTAAAACTTACGCAGAATTTTTGATCACTTTATATCATACTTTTTGCAAGAATTGTTAGCCGCTCTGTTATCTTTGCAAAGTTTTACTAAAACTTCAGATTTCTACTTATCATATCCAGCGGAACTGCAAGTCAACGTCAACGCAAGCCTAAAAATTTATATTTTCGTCTGCCACTGAAAAATGTAGGAAATTTTGCACGGACAAGGTAGCTGTGATACCGATCATCTGTCTTCATGAGGCGGAGATGCTCGGAGTGAAGGGAGTCGTTGGCGAGGAGGCTGCGGTGAACAAAGGTTCTCTGCATCTAGGACGCAAAGCCAGCGTAATGTAAGGAGAAACCTGTGAACGAATCGGAAAATAAATATTTTTGAATAAAGTTCATATTTTTGAATAGGCCATGGGCCTATTTCGTCAGTACCGATACTTCTATTC